CCAAATCCAGACCCAAATCCAAATCCAGACCCAAATCCAGACCCAGATCCAGATCCAAATCCAGACCCAAATCCAAATCCAGACCAAAATCCAAATCCAGACCCAAACCCAGATCCAGACCCAAATCCAAATCCAGACCCAGATCCAAATCCAGACCCAGATCCAAATCCAGACCCAAATCCAGTCCCAGATCCAAATCCAGACCCAAATCCAGACCCAGATCCAAATCCAGACCCAAATCCAGATCCAAACCCAGACTAGAACAACCCACACGACCTAGAACACACCTAGAACAAACCTGGACAACCTAAAGCAGACCTAGAACAAGAACAGACCCAAACCAGTCTCAGACCCAAATCCAGACCAGACCCAGACCCAAATCCAGACCCAGATCCAGACCCAGAATCAAATCCAGACCCAAATCCAGACTCAGATCCAAATCCAGACCCAGATCCAAATCCAGACCCAGATCCAGACCCAAATCCAAATCCAGACCCAGATCCAGACCCAAATCCAGACCAAAATCCAGACCCAGACCCAAATCCAAACCCAGATCCAGACCCAGACCCAGACCCAAATCCAAATCCAAATCCAGACCCAGATCCATACTAGAACAAGCCACATGAACTAGAACACACCTACAACAAACTCAAACAACAAGTAGTGGCGGGCCGCCACTGTTAAATGAATGTAGAGGAAACACTGCACTTTTACACCTTACTATACTGTGACTATTTTATACTTGCAGCACAGAAACCTTGGCCAGGGCACGGCAGCAGCTTCGTTCTTGCTTCCGATTGGGGAGTCGCACTTCCGCATCTTCTGTAACACATCTGTCCCAGCCCATCACATCCTCCTGCACGATAGTACACATTGACAGACATTAAATGCAGAACAAACATTGCCACACTTTACACTGCACAGTCCTGCCATAACTCCTCAATTCCATTCAACTGTATAAACATGCACTCACCCTCGCTCTACCCTTGTTTATTCTTTTCAGGCGCGTGGTATGTATAGCGATGGAGAAGACCAAACAGGAACAGCAGGCCAGTTGTACCTGGTTTGGCAAGAAGAAGAAACAGTATAAAGACAAATACCTGGCTACTTTGACATTTGTATACTTGCCGGGTATGTCAAAATGGGGAATGATTAGGTGTTACTGGCTTGGAAAGCAAAGACTGAAGACTGTTGGAGTGGCCAGAAAATATGCTACTGTATCGAGATGTCATAGTATTTTCAGGCCAAAGAAGTCAAACAAACTGCATAGTATATTAAGGCACAAAAAATTTTCCGCTAAGTCTCTCCTAACAGTTCCTCACTCTGTCTACACCAGGCAAGGCAGGCAGGCAGGCAGCTACCCATTGCCCTCATTGTCTCTGCCGTGTGCTTCATTGCATGCATCTGTGTGGCTTGGAAAGCAACAACCGAAGACAGCAGGTCCCCCTTGGCGTGCCGGTAACTATCTGTTTCTTTGTTTGTTTGTTTGCCAATATTGCACTCATAAATCACCGCTAACACCTTCACTGTCGTGTCTTCTTGCAGGTGACTGTCTGTCACAATGAAAAAGGCCGTGTGTGCATAACCTACCCGCTACAAAGCACTCCTTGCCTTTCCCCTTCCCGACACAAAAAAAGTCAATCAATCAAAATACCACATGATTTTCTTCTAGATGAAAGAAAGACTTTTTTCATGAAAAGTTAAAAAGCTAGACTGTAGGACGACGACAACACTTGCTACATTTCTCATTCTGTTGACCGCTGTGACTTTTGCATTTCACACACACAAAGTTCTCATTCCCAGAATAAAACTGTCAAGTATAAACTATTGCTACCTCAAACTTGGAATTAACTACAATACACATCCAAAACAACACAACAAACTAATGGACACCAAAGCGTCTCAATGCAGAGGAGCCAACGTCTGACCTGTTTGACCCACTGGCATCATCTTTTGGAGGAGCACAAGCCAGGAAACCCCATAGGGGAGCCCAGCTAATAGGAGCAACAGTAACACATAAATCCTGCCACTGCTTACTTCTAGACACAAGGCGGCATGTCAAAGTATGCTAAAGTTGGAGCTATTTGTTATTTTTGGAATATTTCATTACTAATTATTTCGTTATTTTTTGTTGTTTAGTTTTGAAGACTACACCTTTAGTTTGCTTATAACATTTAGTATTATGCGAGTACTTATTAATGCTTTTATTTTGAAGGTACTGGGTAGCTGGGGCGCACTAGGTGAATCTACGTATAGGTGAGGCAGGCACCTGGGAGGGTTTATGTTTTTTTACCAGGGCAAGAGAGGCAGCAAATGCCATTGTTGTTTGTTTGTTTGTTTGTTTGCCAATGGAGAAATTAACCAAAGAAACTTCATTTTGCTCAGATAATGGATTTGTTTTTTCCTGCGTAAATTCATTCCCTAGGTGTCTCAGTGGTCGTTTGATTGATTTTGTCTTAGTTGAGGGTTTTGATATTTTGATTTTTCATCATTGAATTGAGGACAAATAGCCATATAACCAAATTATGTCATCCCGTGAGAGCCCGCTCTATTTGATCTCAATTTCCACAAGTGAGGACAGTCAAAAGTGGTGGAGGCTCACTCACATTTTGGGTGCATATACCAGAGCGGAACGACCGATGCGTGCGGGCCGATAACCACAGAGTTTAACGCTAAAACAACAACAATCCAAAGTCAACCCGGGAACATTTTAAAAACAATGAGAAACAATTTCAAGTAAACTGTAAATTTTACACTGCCGAGCGATCCTGTACGCTTCTGACAAATACGCACCTGAGAGGATACAAAGGCTGCTCAGAGGGGATCCAAAGAGGTTGCGCGAGGTTACAAAGGCAATTGTATTGGACAACAATACGGAAAGGGGAACGCCCACCTTTGGACTGATACAGCTTATGTTATTTCTATATCGCTTTCTTTTCACACACTCTTTAGACATTTTTCTTACTTTTGAGGATAAAAGAACACATGTGCCAACTAAACATTCTTTAAATACAAACTGCATGAGAGCATAAATGTTATCTCTTTTAAAACAAACAAACAAACAAACAAACAAACACTCCACCTCTTTTTTTTTTTTTTTTTTTTAAACATCAAATCCAATTGGCAAAATCAATGACCCAGCATTCCAAGGCTTGGTATTTTCATGCAGATGCATACACTCACCTTGTCCGTGAATCGTGACACAGGCCAAGATGCAGTGGTTGACGCTGTTCGTTTTGAGAGCGATGCCCTAGAAGAGACGAGCAGAGGGTCAGAAGGAAAACTGACAACGTACGAAATGCTTCAACGCACCGAAAGAGCCCATTTGTGAAAGGTGCGTGTCACATATGACTCGCTGATGTTTGTGCTCTGTATTCCCATACAATACAGCCCCCAGTTCAGACCTTGTGTTAACATCCGTCTCGGGTAATACATCACAAGGAGTCGGCTCAAAATACAGGGATGAACACATCAAGTACAAATTTCAGAGGTGGTCCAGGCCACATTCTTTAAGCAGAGTGAACACAAATGCATCCCAGGCTACATCAAAAGGACCACATACTCCACTCACATCCTGGATGTGGATATAACCTTATTTCATTGTAAGAGCGCTCTCTCTCTCATATACACACATACTCACAACAGAACACCCTGTCCATTGACTCAGAACAACAACATATATGCAGAGACATTTTAACACCAGGTGTGAACTAACTGACTGACTGAGAACTGAATTTAAGGTAAACACAAGAAACTTGTGCTGTAGAAAATGGACCAGACTCAGTGAATAGCTCCCTAAGCTTAACATCCTAAGTCCTATGATAACTATTAATTCAGCTATACAGACTAATGAGCAGTGATAACTAACATGTCTTTGAGGTCATCAGGTGGGAACCTCCTTTCACCAGTGTTTCGTCTAGTTGGTCCCACGACACCTCCAGGAGGCTAGACAGACACACTAGCAGATTCAGCAAACAAACTCCCTAACCAGTTGGAGAAAGTGGCGGCCATTTTGAATGAGGGAGGTAGAGTCAAGGAGAGATGCCTTTTTAAGCTAAACTCTCCCCCGCTGGATTAGGCTGTGCTCTACCTCCCCCTACTCCCCCACTCTCCAACAACTCACCTAAAACAAACAAACTCACCTAGACAGTCAAAGACACACTACAAACCAATTCAAACAATACAAGCAAACAATACAGGCCAACTCACCTGAACTAACCGCATGGTCTCACAGAGGCTCACACAGGCCACAACCCCCACTTAAAAACACTTCCTCTTCCTGGATTTTCTTCCTTGCTTCTCCTAAGAGTCTGTCTATCCTAAGTGCTCCCCCTGCTGGGCCCCCAGCTACCATTACTTCTTCTCATCCAAATCCACTGACTGAGAACTGTATTTAGAGCTTGCCACTTGTGATCCGATCACTGAGGACACATCAACACCAGGTCTGTGTGTTTCTGTATCATAAAACACATGGCAGTCTAGATGTTTTCCTCTGCAGTCAAAACACCAACAGAGGCTAAAGAAATACTTTCTACTGCATCATCACAGCAAATCACCACTTTTTTCTTTACTTTAAAGTGGCCTAAAGAAAATGCAATCATAAATGTTCTCCCACCCTCCCTCTCGACCGTAGTCCCCAGCTAGAACCATAACCGGCAGAATGTTTCTCTCTCTCTCTCTCTCCCCCATATATACACACATACTTACAACAGAACACCCTGTCCATTGACTCAGAACAACAACAACAACCGAGGTCATCTGAGGAGATAAAGAGGTTGATTGAGTCCCCGCCCTCCGGCTCTGACTCGACACCCCCGGACCAGTGGCTCTGTCCTCACCATGTTCTCCACCTCAGCGCTCTGCCTCACGGTCCGCTGGAAGTTTCAGCGTCACGGCGTAGGTCAGCACGAGCCCCACCTCTCCGGCCTCAAGCCCTGACACACGCACGCGTACGAGGTCAAAGACATGTTGATATAGAACATCTTTTCAACACCTTTTCATGTTTTAGTAAGTAAACTGTTGGAAAAATTGTGATACTTTATGATAAACATAACCATGTTAATTATACTGAATAGAACTTTCCATTATTGTGTGCATTGCGTTTACTTTTAAGACAGGTGTTTTCCGAGAGGAGCGCAGTGACCTCTGCTGTTCCTCCTGACCACTACACCAAAACATTAACTATGATAAGGCTCTATTATGTCTGTCTCATTTCAGCAACAATGCAAGGTCACTCTCATTCTGTATAAGTTTCTTTGTGAATCTTGCATCCGTTCAACATTTGCACTGTGAGCTCTGGTGTGTAACTCGTTCCCTTGCTGCAAGAATAAATATCCTACTCTTATCATTTTCAGACGGTGTTCCTGAGTTTTATTTGATCATTTTCCTAACATAAACAAACAATGTAGTGCCCTTAAACTTCCACTGGATGTTTGAAGAAACACAGAGACGCTCCAAAAATAAAAGAACCAATAACTACACAAACACTGCCTTTTAACAACAACAACATAGTATACTGTCTCTTCATTACTTTTGCTACATGAGCACTGTTGTCAATTGTGTAACGTAGTTATCTGAGGACTGCTACAGGTGTTCAATGTCAAGATGCTGACAAAGTAAATCTTTTTTATTTGATTCGTTTTTATCCATGTTTTCAGCAGAGATGCTCATCATGACATCTTCCTTTATGTAGTACATTTATTTATTTGAGAAGACCTCAAGTGAACAAAAACAAACACAAATGAAATGTGGTGTAAAATTCCCTAGTAAACGACTGCAGGCCGTCCTTCCCTCATTTGCTTATTTTCAATTTGAGACTACTCACTTCTGATTTCCTTTGACATGACTTGGAAGTTAATGGAAGAGCTACACAAAGGCATTTGATGTTACTTATTTTCATAGTTGTTTAGTCATATTTCATTGAATTCCACTTACCCAAATGTTTGTAGCATGTGCTCCCAAGGTCCGACTGTCAAGCAGGAGGTGGGAGAATCCAATTTCATTCATACAAGAGGAAACCTGGATTGTACTAAGCGGGGTAGAGAACAGAGGGGTGTTTGACCGAGTGGCTAAAAGGGTTAGAGGGCTACTCTACAGACTCAGAGGTTGTGAGCTCAAATTTCATTTCATCTTACTACTTTTCACAACAACACCCAGAGGAAATACTGAAAAGCTTTAAGAAACATATTTTCTTTATCTCTGACTGAGTGATATATGTAAAAAATGAGACTTAATATTCAAGTGATTGACTCCTGGTGATTGGTGGTGATCTGGCGCCATCTGGCGGTGAAAAGAAAAATGACAACATGTTAACTTTAATTGCAGTTCCGTTTCAACTGCCTGTCTGCCTCTCCACCTGTAAGAGCAAATGCAAAAATATTAAAAACGCTCATCTTTACTGTTTTGACGTGGTGCGATTGTTTGAGCTGCAGTGTTACATGTAAAAAATTACATTTCCGCTGTTTTTTATTCACTAAATTCACCTGGTTTACTCCTGGCTCCATACAGCTAAAAGTGCAACATGTCAATTTCAATTGCAGTTGTAAATGGTAAAAGTGATAAGTGGATATGACTGACACGATATAGATACATTTAAAGAAGGTTGTGGGCCAGAAAGGAATAAGTGAATATTTCTAATGTTAAAAATAAATGAATAAAAGATGAAAGTAAAGTAATGGATAAATGATGCAAAGGGAGGGCGTAAGGCCCCCCGTTCGTTCAGCACCCGTTTCACAGCTGATTGCTAGCAACAAACTGTCAAAAGACAACTTTGTGTATAATAGGAGGAGTTCATGTTCTGTTCCCACACATGTAAACTGGACTCGTGCCGGTGTAACAAGCTATTGCAGAAGCAAGGATACACAGTGTTTTCTGCGTAGCCTTATGTCTCAAGTGTCACAAAATTATATTATGTTTTCTCAATGTTTTTCATATCAATCTGTTTTCTGTCCAGGATGCTGAATGAACAGAGAAAACAGGCCAGAGAAGACCTCAAGTGCACACAAACGCAAATGTCATGTAAAACAAAGACCTTTGTTTTGGGGTTTCTTTGCCTTTTCCTACATTTCCTATGAATCATATCATGAGTTAAGAAGTTTGAAAGTCAAAAGAGAAGCTTGAGCATGTGGGGTGAACTGAGCTTGCTAAATTAACTAAGTGTGAATAATTTGCTTATTTTCAATTTGAGACTCACTCCTAAATTGGGATTTCCTTTAACGACATGACTTGGAAGTTAGTTAAGGCCGGAACCCATGTCCTCAAAATTTCTTTTCAGGTACCTAACCCATTGAGCCACCGAGCTGGATGCAATGAAAATGTCTTAAACAAACCTTTTCGCTCGTTGGTCCTGAAAAGTAGTAAGATCAAACAAAATTTCAACTTGCAACATTTAAGTCTCCAGGGTAGCCCTCTAGCCCCTTAAGCCACTTGGTTAGAGGGAAAGAAAGCATCTTTCTTAACAACACTTGTCAGTCAGTCATAATTCCAGAGTTACTGAATCAACAATTTTTGAATCCTTAGATAAAGACTCACACCTTGAAGTACAATTATAGTATTTGTAAATTTGTAAATGTCATAGTATAGTATTGGGTTTTTTTGAAAGTTAAAATTAGACACCCCGTAAATTTTTTAATCAATCATAATGCATAATGAATATTTCTACTTTAATAGTGCATTTACTATCAATACTTGTTTAAGTCTATAGAATCAGCAACATTGGTACACACTGTTTACTAGTTGTAATGCTACAGTTACAACTACTTATATATAACAAATAAAGAAAAACAAGTTAACTGACGTAAAACGGCAAAGAAGGGGTTAACTTACGTCACCGTGACGTAGCTCGTATACAAGGATATGGATTGCGAAACAGCTAGCTACGGTAGCTAACCCGCACGTCTTTTATAAGGAAAATTAGCGGCATTTTGGGAGTACAACTGACTCAAACTTTATACAACAACGTGTAAAAGTCTGAGGACTCCACTAATAACGCTTACGTAGCAAACGGTGAGGCGAGCGCGTGCAGTCGGTTAGCGAAGCTCCAGCCGTGAAGCAAACATGTGTACCGGTTATTCCACTCCTGATTACTCTCACGCTGGACGAGGACACTTCCGGGATGTTTACGAGCCTGCGGAGGACTCTTTCCTTTTGATAGACGCTCTGGAGATTGATGCACAACGGCTGCAGCTGATGAGGTCAGATTTAGCTCAACAGCCCCCCTCCACCGACCTGACCTAGCTGACCTGAGTCTTAAAATCTTGATGTTTCTCATTGCTGTTTCTAGCCCTTGTGTGTGTTTGGAGGTTGGCAGTGGCTCCGGAGTGGTGTCTGCATTCCTGGCATCAGTGGTTGGACCTTCAGCTTTATACATGTCAGCATCACGTCCATCTAATAAAAATGGATTTACTTGTAAAAGTATGGGAGAAAAAGCAATCAACATATTCTAATCTTGTTTCTCCTGCAGCTGCACTGATGTGAATCCTGCAGCAGCACAGTGCACAGAAAAGACAGCTTCCTGTAACAATGTTTCACTGCAGCCTGTCATCACAGACCTGGTGAGACTTGTACATCCGCATGCTTTATGTGCAAGGATTTTAGGTGAAACGTTCAGAAAAATGCATACTTAAATGATATTTCTCTTTCCGTCCTTTAGGTGGACTGTCTTCTTTCTCGACTGAGTGGAAAAGTAGATGTCCTCCTGTTCAACCCTCCCTATGTAGTGACGCCATCAGAAGAGGTGGTTCAGCTAGGTTCGGGAAGTTATCTAAAAGGTGTGGAGCGTTTTAATAATGAGTGCTTTCCTTTCAGGTCGGCAGCAGAGGTATAGAGGCTGCCTGGGCTGGTGGGAAGCGGGGACGAGAGGTGACGGACAGATTTCTGCCCTTGGTACCGCAGTTGCTGTCCCCTAAAGGGTTGTTCTACCTCATTACCGTTGCTGAGAATGACCCAGGTCGGTTTTGATGTCTTTTAAAATCATTTTCAAGTGCAAGAACCAAGAATAAACTCAACCGTTTTCTTTTTCTTTCTCACTAGATGAGATCATCAATTTACTGGGAAAACATGGCTTAAAGGGAGAGTCGTGTTTGTCTACAAGAGCTGGAAATGAGAGACTGTCTGTGCTGCGTTTCCACAGGAGCCAAACATGAATTGCCACCAATAAATCCTGTGAAAGGATTACCGGCAGCTTGAACTGAAAAAGAAGTGACTGCACATATTTTGAGGCTACTTGGATTCTACCTGGACAAATGTTCACAGTTGAGAAAAGCTGCACACATAATAGATTTTTGGACTGTATGCAAGGTGCCTCCAATGTACACATGCTGACCTCTCTCTGCGATACTGAAGCAGAAATACCACAAAATGCTCCTCACATTCACCTGGACATTTTTACTAATGAGAATTAATGATACAAACAACATACTCCATCCAGACAAGTCCGACCACCGTGCCTTTTTTTTTTTTTTTCTAATTTAGAAGTTAATTCCAGTGCAGACAATATTCTATCCTTTTTCTAAGGGTACAATTGGAATGTAATTTTTATTTCAAGTATGATGCTTCTTTACACTAGAGGTTGAAATGCTACTATTTCATCTATTTTCAGCATCCCATGAAGAAAAAAAAAAAAACTCAACTGGACCTAACAATCTGAAAAGACGCTTAGTGTAGTAGAATAGTAAAAAGTTAGTGTAACCTTAGCTGATGTATTTAAAAACAGTAAACTTGTTTTCTATTCGTCAGTCTGCCTTGTTAGTGTCTCTTTTGTGTTAGAAAACCAGTTTTATGTAACAGAAGTAAACTGAGCACAGTTGAGTAGGATTTATGTTGACTTCCACGTGATGTGTCCGTCCTCTCTGAGCCTGACGGCCCCGCTGGCCACCAGCTCCAGAGCGGCGGGGAAGGCTCGGTGCTCGGCCTCTCTGATTCTGTCCGACAGACTCTCCTCTGTGTCGCTGCTCAGCACGGGGACCGCCTCCTGCGCGATGATGGCTCCTGCGTCCACCTCTTCCTAAAACACAAGTGAACAAAACAGTGGCTGTTTGACTTGTTCAGTTTAAGCAACTCAGGTATTTGCCTCTTAATTTGACATCCAGTATTTCCGCAGTAGGTCAGACTTACTGCTACAAAGTGGACCGTGCAGCCGGCAACCCTCACACCGGCCTGCAGGGCCTGCTTCTGGGCATTCACACCCTTGAACGAAGGCAGCAGGGATGGATGGATATTCAGTAGCTTTCCTGTAACAGAAACAAACAGTGACTGACCGATGTTCTGACTCAGTGAAAATGTAAATAAAACGGTGGTCTGAACAGCATTTTCATACCGTTCCATTTCTTGACAAAAGTTCCCGTGAGGATCCTCATGAATCCAGCCAGACACACCAGCTCCACCCCGAACTCTTCGAGCACGCGATCGATGGTGCCGTCAAACTCGGCTCGGCTCCCGTACAGTTTGTGGTCCACCACCTAGTTGGGTTAACAGAATGTAGTGTTTCGTGAGTCAGCCTTATCCTTAAGGATCCCAATGTTTATTTCCTTCAATTAAATGCTGAAAAAATGGCTGGACTACTGTAACTTGCTTTTTATTTTTAGTAGTGGCATTATTGTGTGAATTATTATTATTATTACCCGAGTCTGGATTCCAGCCAGCGATGCTCTCTTCAGGCCCTGAACTCCAGGCCTGTTGGAGATGACCACCGCAATCTCTGCGGCGCTGGACGGACGCTTGACCTGCTCTATCAGGGCCTGAAGGTTGGTGCCTGGGACACAAGAGGAAAATTGTTAGACACATGAGGAAAACATAGGGAGTCTTGTGATCCACTTTTAAAAGGAAATGTTTGATATACACCGACTCGCTCTACATGTGTCACAAAATGCTGACTTATTCCTTTTCTCATCTCAAGTTTATCAAAAACACACCTGTGCCAGAGATGAGAACAGCTACTTTTGTCTTCTTGCGTGGTGTGCTGATGTCGCCATGGCAACCGTTGTTTTGCTCAATCCCCAACTCTCCGCCGGAGGCTGTTCCTGCATTCAGCAGGCTGTGTTTCAGGTTACGGACCACCACTAGTTCCGCCCCTGCATAAAAAAACAAAACAAATATTTTATTATAATTCTAAGATCATAGTCTATCTCTAACTCTCTGTAGGAGTGTCTCAGTGTCTCACCCAGCTGCTTGTGGGCCAGTGAACCCACAATCCAGGCCTCTTCGTGGGCTTGAAGCTGGCGCAGGACCCTCTGAGCATCCAGGGGGGCGACCACCAGCACCGCCCCCAGGCCGCAGTTGAACGTGCGGGCCATCTCCTCCTCGCTCAGACCCCCCTCTTTGTGGAGCCAGGAAAACACTGGAGGGACGCTCCATCGAGATGCATCTGAGTAATGCGTAGAAACCAAGCGTAAATATTAATGACAGAGCGGTGGCCTTTAATAACAAGTGACCTCTACATTTTCTAGACAGGGAAAGACTCCCAGGACGACTAGACTACATTAAAAATAAGTGGAAGGGAAATGTGAATATAATAAGAAGGCTGTTTATGTTTGACAACATTTGTACTGACTAGTGCGCACAAAGGTCATACAGCTATAAATATGTTTATACAGGAAATTGTCTTGATTCCTATTTTTCACCGCAAACTAGGAAACCATAGATAAAATAAGCTTCTAAAATGCAAATGCAGCTTCATCCAGAGGCAAACCACCTTTCCAGTTTGTTGACGTCAACATTCTCATATGCTTATGTTGCGTACGAAGATCAAGTGTACTTGTGCTTTCATCTCACCCAAATCGACTGCCAGTTCCTGGGGCAGCACCCGAGGGATGTTCTCCAAAAGTCCACCCCCTGTGATGTGAGCGTAGGCTTTGACGGCACCGCTGCGTAGGATTGGCAGCAGCAGGCGACTGTAGATCTTTGTTGGTGTGAGCAAAACCTCCCCTGCAGGCAGAATTTCAGGCAAATGGTGAGAATTAAGTGTTAAAGTTGGGCTATAATATTTTTAAATATTTTGACAAAGATTTGCCAAACCTCGTACACCCTTTGTGACTTACCGACAGTATGTCCCTGTTTGCCAAAGGGAGCTGGGGAGGTGTAGCTGAGGTGGGCCTTCTCCAGGACTTTGCGGACCAGGCTGAAACCGTTGCTGTGCACTCCAGAGGAGGCCACTCCGATCAGCAGGTCCCCCTCTGCGATGTCCCCCGTCCTGGGCAGCAGGGCTCCGCGCTCCGCTGCTCCGACGCAGAACCCAGCCAGGTCGTACTCGCCTGGAGCGTAGACGCCCGGCATCTCTGCCGTCTCGCCTCCTGGACATGGACAAAGACGCGGACGGAGGCTTGAAATACACTAAGTCACGAAGGAGGGAAGTCAAGATACATCACAAGATTTAAGACACTGAATCCACAGCTTTTGATCTAAGTTATTGGAAATATATTTTGGATTTGGAACTCTTATCATAACCAGCACCACATCTGTCCTCTCACCCAGCAGCGCACAGCCCGCCATCTCGCAGGCCTTCGCGATGCCGCCGACCACGGAGGCTGCCACATCCACGTCCAGGCTGCCGCAGGAGAAATAGTCGAGGAAGAAGAGCGGCTCGGCGCCCTGAGCGAGCACATCGTTCACACACATGGCCACCAGGTCCTGACCCAGGCCGCCGTGCTGCCCGCACGCCTGAGCGATCTGATGATGAAGAAAAAAAAAAAAAAAAGAGCATTTTTAAATCAAAAGGAAAAAAGCCTCAGAGCCAAAATCAAATAAGACAAAGTAAACTGCAGAATATTAAAGCTGCATGTGAAAAGACTTGTAACAATTACAAACAGATATTTTGCTGGAGATTTGAAATATACAAGTTTTGGCACCTTGACGAATTAAAAGTGCAAGATTTTAAACTCTCCACACTCACTAGCAATGAGCTGAATCTGCTCCCTAGTGTCCTTGAAATAATCCTGGATCTTTCACACTTTAAATGAATTTGTATTTCTGTTCAGGGGTTTTAAGAAGCCAGAGTCTAAGCCTTTGAATCTGTCTACAGACAAGCTCTCCTGCTGCTCATTTACTTCTGAGCCAAACGTGGATCCAATTCTGAAAACGGTTATTTCTTCGCCCATCTGGAAATTACCAAAGCCATTTTTGACTGAGTGGAGGATTTAGCACTTTTAGATTCTCATTTGTTCCAGGACTTTGTAATTACAAAGAGTCACATATTGAACAGTGACAACAAATGATGGTTAAGTTTGCAAAAAAACAAAACAACAAGCCCCACCTTCAGCTTAGTCCCCACTCCGTCTGTCCCAGATACCAGGATGGGGTCTACAAATCCTGCTGCCTTCAGGTCGAAAAGCCCAGCGAAGCCCCCCAGGTCTGCATTACACCCTGATGGGAAAAAAGAAAAGAAAAAAAGAAACCAATTACAGACACAGTTACTGCTTCATCCACTTTTTCTGATGTTTGTATTACTGCAACAAACGAGACCTAATCAAAATCACTGCAATTACAACTACAATAGCCCCCCCAAAAAAACACAGCTATTTGTTTCCTAATGAGAAAACGGTTTCAGTCTGCTGCTTAAAACAAGAAAACAATGTCTCTGTCTGACAGGTCACACGGCTGTTAAAACCGAGGAAGTAGTGCTAACGCTGTTTTCCCTCACTGCTATTTTTGTTTGACACCAGCACTGAAAGTTACAAGCGTCTAATCATTGTTTAGATGCACAAAAAAAAAAAGGTGTTTTCATGCAATTTTTGTAGATGAAATTGAAATTACCAGTGCGAGAAGTCGCCTTGGCCAGAGGCTTGATCATCTCCACCAGCTTGTTACCGGCAGCAATGTCCACTCCGCTCTCCTTATAGGTGAGACCTCTGTCAGAGACACAAGTGGCATCATGTCTGTCTGCAGCTGGAAGTGCATTAAGTCTTGTGGAAGAACATTGAGTCTTAAAATCAGAAGGGAATTTGTGATTGATTGTGGATTAGAGCACATATATGTGGAGAGGATGTTACATATAGAGGCAAATTAAAATGATTATTTAGTTGGTAATTAAAAAAAACAAACTAAGACACAGGTACATCCACAGTGAAGTTTATTATTCATAAACACACGACTTACAGTTTGGAAATGAACTAGAAAAAAAAAAAAAATCTACAAACACAATAAAGCAAAGAAAAAAACAAAACAAAAAAGGGAATGTTTTAGTGTTTTAGTTTGTGTGTTTTTTAGCTTGTAGCACACTCACACACACCTGTGTTGGTTCAGGTGAGCGATGGCCCAGTGCCCGATGTCATGGCGGTACACGGCGCCCGGGAAGCCAATGGCGGCCACGCCCTGATTGGCCGCCTGCAAGGCCATCTCCAGGGACGAACTGACCGCGGTGACTGTCAGGACCCGCCCGCCGCTGGAGACCACGCCCCCTTCCTTCAGGGCTGTGCCAGCGTGGAAAACCTGCAGCCCCGTTTCCTGAACCTTGGACAAACCTGAAGCAGAACAGCGGTGTGAGTCTGATAGTTTCAAGTTCTAGATAACAGCAAGATATCAAAGAGTGATAGTGTGCGTTTCCCACAGATGTTTCTTCCCCTCTTTTCTCCACGTTTGAGCACATCACAGGCTCGTCTTTGGCGCTGCCGTGTCATACATACCTGTGATCTCTACTCCTTTCTTGTAGGAGCCGGGGTAACCGGCGCTGGCCATGACCACCGTGACCGCAGAGCTGTTCTGGTGCCACACGGGGGCGTTAGCGGCCAGTTTGCCATTCATGGTGTTCAAGATCACTTCATACAGGTCGCTCTTCAGCAGGGGCAGCAGCACCTGAGAGAGAGAGAGACAGTAAAGAGCAAAATATAATGTTCATTTCCTATTGAGACGATCCAGTGACAGACGACAGCGACGAAACTCACCTGACACTCAGGGTCTCCGAAGCGACAGTTGAACTCGAGCACTTTTGGCCCCTGCTTGGTCAACATCAGCCCTGCGTACAGCACACCTGGAAAAGCACAGAGAAATGAATGAGATGGAGGCTATGACTCATCCGGCTGAAACCGACGACAGATGCGGGGGAGTTACAACAACAGATGAAGAGCACTTGCCCACGTAAGGAGCTCCCTCCTCCCTCATCCCGTCCACCGTCTTCTGAAGCACCGTCTCTCTGATCTGCTGCAGCAGCTCCTGACTGACCTGCAGTGGCATGGAGCTCATTATCAAAACAGAGAACCAAGCTGAGACGAGGAGGAGGGGAATATGTCCCCTTTTTTTTTGACTCCTGGTGACATAGCACGATGTTGCTCTCTGTTAAATGTCACTGCAGTACCTGAGGGGTGGGGCAGTAGGCCCCCATGCCGCCGGTGTTTGGCCCGTGGTCACCGTCCTGCAGCCGCTTGTGATCCTGCGCTGGAGGCATCGGAGACACTGAGGAGCCGTCGCTGAAACACAGACACTGTAGGGCGAGGAGGAGAACGATTAACACCCTTCCGATTTTCCCTCCGTCCATACGTCAAGAGTGAGTTGGTGCAGACATGCGTGTTTCAGTGTAACCGTTTCACTCACAGACACTTCCTCTCCCTCTAAAAGCTCCTCGACCACCACCGTCTCCCCCGCAGCTCCAAACGCTCTGTCCTGTAAGAGTGAGCCATTTACACACACACACTGATTTGATCCACTGTTGATATAAAAACAACAATTATAGCAGCTTTGAATACAGTTTTAGCCCAGAAACACACACTGGCAAATTACCCCTTGTCAGAGTATTTATTATTATACTGTAGTTCTAGTGAGGCACAAAAATGTGACTGAGTAATCACAGAGGGCGCTTTTATGACAATTAACTTCTACTTCAGTAAAATGTCTCTCTTCCACTCCTCACCTAGATTCAATGATGACACAGAACCATATCTAACAGTCCGGTACCTTCATGATGTCCATCACAGCCCGACAGGCCTCGTCCTGGTCTCTCGCCACAATGACTCCCTTCCCGGCTGCCAGACCGCTGGCCTTCACCACCAGCGCAGGGAAATCGGCGCTGCAGACCAAAGGAACAATGACACAGACTCAGTAATATGCAGAGAGAATCAACATCCTCTCACAGAGAGCACATCTGGAACAGATGCTGCGCCGCTGACATAAAGCACAAAATGTTTTTCTGTGGACCATTTAACATTTGCAGAGCGCACGATTGTCTGGGAATGGGTTTGGGGTGTGTATGGATGAAGGCTGTCAGAATATGGCAGCTGTTGTTCTGCCCAAGATGCTTTATATGACCAAAGAAATGACTTTCGCTGAGCGCAAAGGATTTTCTCTTTGTTTATCAAAGTTACAACTCTTTCTTCTTTCCTCTGGAACGTCTTCGAGGGCGCTCTGACATGAAAAACAATCACCACATCTTAGATCATTAACTCATGAAACCATCTGAGAAACAAAAACTTCAGTGAAGATTTCATTTTCTATTATGACAAGTTTTTGTGTTTAATGGCTCTGAAAAACAAAACTCAACAGCCTTCCTGCTGGAAATGAAAACGGATATCAGTGATGGTAGTGACTCACCATAAACAGTATGTATTCAGCTTGTTTTCTCCTCTAATTACACAAATTATTAATTAGCTGGGCAATGCCAGGCAAGGAGGATATAAAGAAGTGTCCCTATATGTCTGTCTTTTATATTATCGATCTTAAAATGTGCACAAACAAACACTCTTCCAAAGATATAAATTTTGTGCTTGTCTACTGTACTGACGTGCGGATGTATTTGCAGGCCTCCTGGGGGTCGGTGAAGGAGCCGTAACGGGCCGTGGGGATGCCGTGGCGCTCCATGAAAGCCTTGGAGAAGCTCTTGCTGGCCTCCAACTGCGCTGCTTTGGCAGAGGGGCCGAAACACGGCACTCCCGCTGCCGTCAGGTCGTCCACGATACCTGAAAGAGACGTGGAGGTCGAAGAGAAGGACGCGGTGAACGGGACATTAATAAGACTCAAGTATGACTCCTGATGTTGACGTTCGCTTACCGGCTGCCAGCGGCACCTCGGGTCCGACCACAACCAGCCCCACGTGATGGTCCTTACAGAACTGAGCCAAGATGGTGTGGTTACTCACCGATACCTCTGCATGGAGGAAATCGGGGGAAGTAACAGTTCAGGATTCCTTCACACACCATCCTTCTCTTCACTTTAAACATGGGTGCCATAAATTCTCTGCTGAATGTATTAAAACACTAAGGCGTCATGGTAGTTATGGATGACGTGAAATAAGTGCAAACTACCTTCTTTATAAGGGTAACCTGTGGTGTGTTTATATTGTCTGTTCATTGGATTTTTGTGTTTGTAATATAAATGTCTCACATACTGTACATTGGAAAATCCAAAAAATATCATGTCAGTATATATTATGTTAAAGAAAATATTTAAATAATGACTCCAGAGCTGTTGGTCACAGAGAAATTACAAGAACTATTGTCTATAACAGACTTATTGTTTAAAAGGAAGCCTTCGTTAGTGTTTGTATTTACCAGAGTTGCTGATCTTCCCACAGCCGGCTGTGCCTGCGTTACCCGGAGCAACCAGAACTTGCTGAATCTGTGGCGACTGGGCCAACTTCCAGGCCAGTGCATGCTCCCGTCCGCCACTGCCAACCACCAGCACCCGTTCTGCCATGGTACCTGAGCGACTGGGGGGGGGGGGGGACATAAAACGATCCCAGCATGTATTATTAGACTGAAATCAGTCACACCTTCACGCTTACTCCGCAGAACATCCTGCGCTTCTCGTCCGCCTTTAATTGTTCGAAGAGGATTTAATTGTATGCCGACACTGACCTATAACGACCGGAGTTTGCTAAGCTGTGAGGAAGCGTTGACCTTTTCTGAGGCCTGGGGTCTTATATTATCTTGTAATGCCACACAAACAAGAACCCAATCAACTAGAACAAAAACACAAGTCAACAATTAAATGGCATGGTCACCAGGCAGGACCGAATCACCAGCTACTGAAAACAGGGGCTCATTTGCATAGAAAAACAAAGCCATTATCAGGTCGATATACAGTAAACCACTTTCCGTAGCCTCAGTTTGGCAATGCAGCTCTTCTGCAGTCTCGTCTTTCTGTGAGTGTTTCATTTACCAAACGCAGTGACTGCATCACATTTCTGTTTCCAAACCAATTTTCTGTGAAGCAAATATTTCATTTACTATTTGCATATGCAAAGGCTGGAATATAACTTTTTTTTTTTTTTTACAGCCAGATTGATGTGAAGGCCTTTTCTCATTTACTCATGATATTTGCAACCATCTAAAATGTCTGTGATTTAATAATAAACTGTATTGGAGAGGATTTACCACTCAAAGTAAAAGGAAACTGCTCATCTAAAGTACACCATGATATGCAATGTCACGTTGAGTGTCACACAATGTAAATTCACTCAACAGAAAACAATGTTCCTCATGACACACACTGGGATCAATTTAATCTCACCACTGGGATAAAAACTTGAATGATTTCACTGGCTTTCTGGCTTATCTGTTGTTCTGAATTTCCTAAACTAGAAAAAGAGAGACTTGTTATATTCAATCTTGCCTCAAAGTGTAATTGTGCAACTGCATCTTGCAGCGCTGTGAATGTACAAGATTTTACATGAAAACAGTCGGCAAACACTTCTGTGCACCCTTTACACCCCTACAACTCAAACAAAATGGGGTCAGAGTTCACACCATCCCAATCTGCACTAACCTCAAACCTATGACTGGAGCTGTGAGGATTGTGCAACTGCATGTTTTACCAAAGTAAAGGCTGAATGTGCAGATACATTGTCTAAAAGCTCCCTTGAAACACTAATTTGGGATAAGATACAACGCATGTTCCACAATTAGCCAAAGCACTGGTTGTGATTGAAATCACCCCGCTCATGTGACTCACATGTCAGAGAGCAAATCAAATGCATGAGTCTAACAATGAGCGTTTTTAAACACCCCTTACAGAAAACTATACATGAAGTGTCGCAGCATGCATCATTTTCTCCTCACACTGTCAACATTTCTTTAGTTAATTTGTGTGGAAGTTGTCAAATAGGTCAACTCAAGCGTTTAACCCTGGGTATGCACAGTATAGTTGCATAAGCATAAAGATACACGCAACTGTTCTGCAATTTAACATGACAGATGGTGTAATTTTCTGATGGAGTCATGTCCAGTTCAATTTTTCCTACTGGCTTCAATGTTTTTTCAGTACAAGCTAGTACAGTACAAGTGACATGCACTTAAAACTGACAGTCAACTCTTCCAATAACATTAGCACATTAGCTTGTGGTGAAAAAAACATCCAGCATGCCGTTTAAACCACTCACCTGTGTGTTAGTGAACGCGTGAAGCAGGAAGTAGCCGGAGCCTGGTTCAGGAGTGTCTCCTCAGCTCTCTGCAGACTGACCATGGATGCAACGCGTTATCACAGACAGACACACACACACCACACCACGTGGATTCAATATATCACAGTGAAGTACATGGTAGAGCTGCACAACGTCAATGCAACGCAAAGTTACGCAAAGTGCTAAATAACATTAAAAACAGGCAAATGCGTCACCGTTTTTCGTTTCGTTAGTATACTTATGTTTCTTCTTCTTACCTTTATCTGCCGCTCAAACTATTTTGGTCAAGTTTTTTGGATTCCTCCAACTTCCTCGGGGAGTAACACCCGAGTGCATCACGGGAGTTGTAGTTAATTAATTTGCAATGCCAGGTGGGAAGCCACAGCTGTTTTTTTTCTGAAAAAGGGAGCTTAAGAGAAAGCTATCGATGCATCTGTTGGTAAAATATGTTTTAGATACATTTCCTTAATTTGCAATAAAAAAAAAAAATGATTCAAACTGGGTCACTATAACCACAAGCATCCACTGCTGCTTTTCAGGCAATAAATTAGTCCACTTAGTTTCCTTGAATAGACAAGTACTTGAGGAAAACAGATTTTTTTTTTAGTGCATGAAATATTGCTTCAACACCAAAATAACTTAGTATAGATCTATATAATAATGTTATTTGCAGCTCCAAAGGTACCAATTTAACAATGTAAAAATACTATTACTTAAAGATACAAGTCTTTTTATTTTTGTATTTTTTTGTGTCCTGATTCAATTTTATATTGTTCATTTCCTGTTTTCTTTCCTTTTCCTTTATTTGTATGAATATATGTACTGATGTTTGTTAGTTAACCTTTGCTGTATGTTTTGTGTTTGAAATCACACACAAAACAAATAACTAACAACTACATACAATTAGGTGTCGTCCACTGATTCCCAACCAAGGGTTCAGGCCACCCTAGGGGCCACAAGATAAATCTGACGGGTCGTGGGATGAAGAATGGAGCAGGAAATAAGAGAAAAGTTCTGCTACACAAATTTACTTTTTTAAGCCTCTGTTATTGAAATAAGACCATATGAGAAGATTAGAGGGGGGATGTCTCTTTGGTGGAAGACAAAAAGGTTGTGAACTACAGCTTTAATCTTTAATAATGAATTTTAAAAGCTCATGATATGTTTTTTAATTCAAATTCTTTATCTTAGCTGTAAAACAAATATAGTGGAGTGAAAAGCACAATACATCCCTCTGAAACACATTAGAGAAGGATTTAAAGTCGCATTAAAATGAAAACACTCAAGAGCAAAAAATACTACACAAAACACTGGACAAATGCTGACTGTTTTTTTATCTTCTTCTTTCTTTCTTTTTTTCTTTTTTGAAAGAAAGCCATTGAGATTTAAAACATCTTTTTCAAGAGTGTTCAGGACAAGATAGGCAGTAATAACAGACAGCAAGTTTCAGATTATTAGACTGCTATTGTAAAATGATGGATTCAATTTCTAAACCCATCCCAGACCCAACCTGAAAAGCAGCTTAAAACAACTCAATAGCTGTATGGAAACAGGCATCATTGATAGAAATGTGCGTGGATGACTGTGGGTTTGTGGGTTATTGATCTGTCGGTTTCTGCTCAATAAAATGTCACATTATCACTTTTATTTTTCAGATCACAATAAAAGCGTCAACACTTTAGTTCTTGAGTACACGTGTGCCAGTCCGGTCACAACAAAGGGAGTTCAGGCGCGTTGAGGAGTTCTTGTCCTACCCCTGACTGCCGTAGGGCGAAGAACGTGATGCCTGAACTGTACGCTGCCGGGATCGTGATGTGTGTTAACTTGGGTTGCTCTTGCTCCTGTCCGTCTTCTTGGGCCATCTGTCTCACCTGACCTAATCCGAAGAGAACAGGGAGAAAAATATGTACAATATTTGGGCAGGATGAAAAAGCTGCACAAATAAAACCACAAATACACGATTTACCCTCAACATCCAGGGCTTTCCATCGCGGGTCAGACCGGCTCTCCGAGAGGCCGGACGAGCAGGAATCGGGAGTTAATCGCTGCAGGACGTCTTCTCGACGAATCAGCAGCACGGATTCGCTGCAGAGTCGCTGGTGCACCTCTCCCTCACTTGCTAGAAAGAATTTAAAAACACAAAATAATAACGCGTCGACGCCAGATGACTGAGAGTTGTTATCTTCTCAGTACTCACCTACATCTAAAGGATTGGTCATGAAAACTGCATTAGGTGCGACCCCAAATATAAGCTGATGGTGCCAGGCGTCTGGCACGTCCTCTCCCTCGGGTACGGCCAGCTGCATGTTCATGGTCGCCACGGGAACAGCACCTTTTTGAATCCAGCGTGCGAGCCAGGGGACCAGCTTCACCCGCCGGCGGGGATGAAGGTGGAAGAAGCGACCCATCACCTTCCCGTTACTGGCCTGCTCTGCTCCTGCGATGAGCTGAGCGTGAGTCGCGCCTAGAAGGAGATGTAGTGTTTATTGAGCCTGTATGATCATTACAGAAGTACAGGGTCTGTCTATTATAATCACACTTTTTATATTTAAGATCAATGAATATACATGTGTTTCTTTTTCACTCAGAACTTCAAGTAGGGGACGACAGCTTGAGCGAAACGCCGGAAATGTCAATGTAAAAACTGTGTAACAGAGCTGAAAAAGTCAATTACAGTCTCTCCTCTGAGAGACATAAAACTCTTTGTCTAATTCAAGAGGGTACTTTTGAATTTGCCTGGTTGGCAGTGCAACCAGCTGTCGCGCTGGCAGGAAGCAGCGCTTATGGGTTCAAGACGTTACACGGCCTCATTCAGCGGAGGGAGTTATAGTCCCTGCTAGCATCTGTGACACCTGAGATATTACTGCCTGTTGAGCCGAGTTAAGATATGCGCCTATACAAAGTCATCCTTTATGTATTAATATTTCATTACCTGAAATGTCACAGAGCAGTCTGCAGGAGTTAGAGCTCAAGCCAAGTGTTTAGAGTGTAATATCTGCCAATTTAGTGACATAAATTAAAGAAGAAAAAAATAAAAGCTACATTAACATGAAAAAAAAGTCATTTTATTTCCCTGTGTTCATGTCGCTTTCATTTGGAGCCTTTATTGTGAAGCACAGCGCTGTGGAAGAAATCATTGATTAGCTTCTTGACAGCTGATGATGCTGCTGCTGCTGCTTATGTGATGAATTAAGGATAAAGGCGTGATAGTTGGAGGAGACTGCCGATTCATAAAATAGAATCTCTATCTTTATGCTTTATCAAACCAAAGCAAAGAATGTTTAATTCTGTTTTTGCTTTAGTCTTGAACTAACAGTGAGTTTCATGTGAACACAAAACCTGCGCTCCGTTCTTCGTACGGGGAAAACCCAGTTATCCAGTTTAGATTGCTGTTGATTCAACACGAGTCTGAATTCTTAGGTTTAAGATTCATCTGTAGTCGTAATTAGCTGGATCAGGACCAAGACGTTTTAAGGTGAAACACCTACATGAACTAATTTTCATTTTCTTAAATTTATCATAACAGAATGTTGATATAATTATAATTTTAGATTACAACGTGCTTAGATTAGATTAGATCTGTTGGTGCTTATCACTATCTAATTTTCTATTTCCACACTTATCTGTGCTTCTACATAATTAGTAGTACAATAAAATAAAGGATTGTACACTGAAAAGAGAATCGAGCTAAATTTAGTTTGAGACTGTGAGAAAAAAAGCTGAGTTTTAAACTGTCAAAAGAGCAAAGGAGCCAGAACTCATTTAATTTGTCATTAGACAAATTATTAACTGCAGAACTCACTCTGCTGAAGGTTGTTTAATCAAGATTCATAGCACACAGGTGAGGTCACGATAACACCCTCAGGTGTAGCTTTGGCACCTGTGTTTGACATTTACCGGCTTCGCTCCGGGACAGCAGATAGTCCGGCAGAGGTGACTCATTCCTCCTCAGGCGAGTTTGGACGCAGCGATCAGCTTCCTCAGGGGCCACATCCACGTCGAGGGCCTTCAGCACGTCCACCACTGCTGTGGCCCCGCAGGCCGACACTCCGATCTGCAGGGTCTGCCTCTCCAGAGCCTCCTGGATGGACCACAGCATGGCTGCACCACCTCCTGCCTCCTCCTCCTCCTCCTCGGCTCCATGGAGCTGCTCACATACTGCCTCCATCTGTGAGCTTCACCTGCAAAGACATGGTTACAGATTAGATTAAAACTCCATAGAATCTCATGAAAATGCTGATTCCTATGCAGGTGAAGTACATCAATATAGTGCTGACGTGTTGCATTGAATTCATGTGCAAAAATAATTCAGTATGTTAAATTTACCAGTTAAATGGTTCAAAACAAATCAGTGTCTTGATAAACAGCTGAAGTGTCAAGTTCACTTCTCTGAAATCATCACAGCTTGTTCCCAATGACACTGATGATCCTGCTCAGTGACAAACTCTGCTGCCAAAAGTCAAAGAATAAGCTCTACAATCCGCTTCCATGTGTGCAAGTACAGAGTAATAACTAATAAGTCACTGCCTGTGCTCTCACCATTCCCCACACTGACAGAAGTAGCCGGTCGCGACAACGATGTGCGATGCGCATGCGCGAAACTGACACGTGGTTTAGTTTCTGTGCTTTCTTCACAAGTCGGACAAGAAGGCAAAGTGACGACTAGCGCCTCCGCTGGTCGAGTAGCGCCATGACACAAGAGAGAGAAGCAGCAAAGAGCCACAGCACAGTTCATTCAAAAATCTACAGTGAAACCAACTGCAGTATGCTGTATATCCTATGCTAATACATGAGTGGGTTAACCCCTTAGCAGTTTGTGTGGAAACACTTTGGAGCCATAGCCTGAACCAATTCTGTGTCAACAGCTGTTGCATATGATATGGATCCTAAATTTTTTTTTTTTTTTGCACAGACAAAATCAGGAGACAAATACACCTAAAGTAACTCTACTAAGGCCAAAGGGTCCCCACAGGTGGGACGGTGTATTCTAAAGGGCTAAAGTGATTGGAACTCTGCAGGGAGTGAAGAAAATGTACAGAGAGCAAACATCTGGATGAGTTTAATGAGTAAAATCTACTCAATTCACAGCAAAACTGAAGCTGAGCGTTTTCTTTTAATTACTGTAGGCCCAAATTGTCCCCTGAACACACAGAATAAGCCTGTGTGACAGTTTTCCATCAAGCCAAGAGATGTCAGTGTTGCTACACTTGAATGCAGCAGGGAGCAGAGCAACATATGTGGTAACACAGCTGATATGTGGCGTCTGTAAGGTTGACGCTTGGTGAAACAGCCTGAGGCGGGTGTCAGCGATGGCCGCCTCCTTCTTTGTGTCCTGCAGTTATCATATAAGGAGGGGGGCATCGGGGTGAAACATACATAGAGCAGAGAACCTGCACTTGTTTTTTATCCTGAGGCATGCAAGCTCTTCAAGAAAGGTTGGAACAGGGTGGGTGTTATGAGGATGTCCCATTTGTTTTTGTTCTTTTTCCCCATTAAGTTTAAAGCAGGTAGTCTTGTATGTCTTTGTAAGAAACGTTGTGTACTATTTGTTTTATTTTGATCACTCACCCAATCAAAAAGCAGTAATGCAATTCATAAAATCACAAAGATACAGTTCAGGAGCTTCAGTTAATGGTCATACCAAACAGCAGAATGTGGGGGGGGTGTGTGTGTGTGTGTGTGATCTCAGTGACGGAGACTGCGGCGTGATTGCTGGTGCTGGTTTGAGTGTTTCCGAACCTGCTGATCTCCTGGGATTTTCACACACAACAAGCCTCTAGAGTTTTTTAATCAAAATCACTAGAGGACTATGCCAGGTTCCACCCCTCTCAGGCAACAACACAAATCTGAATCTGCAGTGTAATTTTGTAGGGCTGCTTCCAGAAGGACAACGCTCCATGTCACAAAGCTAAAGTCGTCTAAAAACTGGTTTTCCTGAACATGACCGTGAGTCTCGTGAACTTCAGTGATCTCCCCAGTCTCCAGATCTGAATCCACTACAACACCTTGGGCATGTTGGTAGAACAGGAGACTGGCAGCTTGAATGTGCAGCTGACAAATCTGCAAAAAAACGATGTGATGCAGTTATGTCAACATGGAGCAGAGTCTCAAAAGTGACGCTTCCAACATCTCACGTTGAAGAACTGAGGCTGTATTGAGAGCAAAGGGGCTGTACCCAGTATTAGATGGCGTATTGCACGACACCACCTGGTGGAGGAAAAAAGATATAAGACATCAAATTAACTCCACAATAAAACTACAAAGAAGAGTTTTGGATCATGAAGAACGTCTCCCTCTTGACCCCTTCGATCTTCTCTACAGTAACTTTATCTCTACTGATCTAGGAGCAGTTGTCGGTGCGTGTAATCATGAACATCAATCCTGGTTGGTATTCCTCTCACCTCCACTTTCCCCTGGTTTTCCGCAGCTGCAGTGATGGCCGCTGGAAGCACTACGAGCAGAACATGATTAAAACTGACTGGGCTCTCCGAAACGTGGTCCAGCAGCCTATATGAGGCATGTCAACGAAGAGATGAGGTGTCGGGGGTGGTGGTGGTGGTGGTGGTGGTGGGGGGGGGGGGGGTTCTTCACATGTCTGGGATGAAAGATAGAAAGAGAGAGGCTGTCTCATTTTCTTTCATCCTTCTCACAGGCAGCCTTCACCTCAGCATCACCTTTTGCCATTTGCAGATGGGGAGAAGCTGAAGGAAAAGGCACTATATGGGGTGGGGGGGTGGGTTTCTTACTATGAAACCAACACAAGGCTAAGCTATTAGTCATCATACTTGTCAACAAATGCACAAATTTGCCCTTTTAGAAACCAAATTTTCTCTTGTGAAAGAAAAATGAAAAATGTAAATACCCTGGGCACAAAAGCCATTTAAAATGTGGGATGTGATAACGATTCTGAATCAAGTCAGTCTCAAAGTTGTAAATCACAGGTGGCAATATCGGCGATTTCTGAAAGCTATGTTTTCTCCCGCACGGTGGAAATGACCGTTAAAAAGTGTCGACAATCTGGTGACAACATGGCTCCAAAACCTCCGAGGCTGGTAGCGGCAGTAAAATATCAACACTAACAATTCTTTCAGCTATTTAAAAAGGAGCTACACACTGTTGATTCATGTCTGGTTTCACTTGTTAAGTAACTGCTCCAAATACAGTACGTACATCAAAAGTAGTGAATTTAGGCTGTTTAATGGTGCGATTGGAATTTCCATGAAAGACGTTGCTTCATTTAAACTCCACTTATTCCTCTATTATCATCCTTTATATATGCTGAATTGTACATGTCCTTGAATACACGCGTTCATTCAATTCCATTCCATTGTACCACATGGAAAAAATACATTATTTTCGTAACTAACTGGAACCCACAGACCTGTGAAACAGAGCACGAGAAAGAGGAGTCATAGGGAGTAGCTACATTTACATCCAAAAATACTGCTACTTTTGAGAAAATGGATTTATTAAAGCAAATTAATTTCAGTATAAATCTACAAAAGAAAATGTCTATCCTTTACATAAACACTTTACTTTACATACCTCCTGGATGACATGATTAATTTACTAAGTCTGTTCTGATTATACTTTTTTTGCATGTTGCTTTTATCAGTACACCAAATGCAAATTGAAAATGTGCTTGGAAACAGCTGGATGGAAACCCATCTACTGACAAGATCACTTATTAATGCGTGATGTGTGTGAGTGGTGACAGGCTGAAATAGCTTAGAAAAAAACTACTTAGTCAGTGGCTATGAAAAATTTAAACCGACAATCCAGCCTGTGCTGCAGAGAGAGAGACTCTTTCACAACCTCCTGGGTTACACACAACCTGACAGACAGACCAGTTAGTGTGGCGGCGGGAACTGTCCTCTCACCTTTCATCTTCACCCCCGTGCACCTCAGACTTCCTGAGTCCTGTCATCTGCTGAAGCCGCGAGGTGTGTCGGCAGGCGGACAGGAGGCAGAGGACACAGAAGACCCGTTGGACCGCTTTGTGTCGTGGCGCGGGAACAACCACCTGTTGGTGAAGACAGAGGAGACGGTTGTGGACAATTAGGAGGACCATCTCCAATCTCTGTTGATGACAAATCAATGATTAAAAACTGCAAATTGATTTGGGGTTTCTACCTTTTTAGTTCTGGTGTCAGGTGAGATCCTGAGAGCGTGGTTGCGTCGTGAGAAATAACATGACACAACAGGAATAAACAGAAGCGAACACAACACACAGGCATTGACAACAACTGTCACTGAGACTAAGGAAAATGTAAAGCAGGGATAAATGAAATCATGTCTTAAAATAAATAAATAAATAATAATAAAACAAAAGAAAGAGGAGGAAAACGTGAGGAGGGGGTATTGCTGTCGTCAGCTCTTTTCTCTGATCCACTATCTTTTTCACCAATTCCATATTTTTCATGTCTCTGAAGCATGAAATTCATCTGTGAGTATATAAGTATAGAAACCTGTACCCATTGACAATTGACATGAAATTCATATTTATTGGAGCAGTGATTACTGACTTTGCTTTTTATGAACACACAGCGAATCTGTGACGCAGGAGCAACAAATGTCATGGTTTTCAAATGCAGCCACAATGTATGTGTTGCCACATGGATCAAGAATGAGCTTTTCAATATGCTTGTAAGGTACAAGAATGTTGGCAAGTATAGGAATAAATGAAGGAAAGGAGAATAAAATAATACAAATATTTGTAACTAATGAGAAGAAAAAACAAACTAAAAAGGTGAGCAACAATCACAGAAAGTTGGAGCGGTCTATTCGGCAAAAACAATCATGAAAAATCATCTCATGAAGACACCAACTTGGAATCCGTCTTAGTTTTGGCACCATCTGTAGATCGGTCAGTTGTATCACTCCGCCCTTATATTTGACTGAGACATTGTTGGCATATATACACATCATTGCCACACCTTAATGTATATTACAGTGAGCAGCTGGAGGCCTTTTGAGATTGTTTTCTCTTCTATATCACAGTGTCCATGTTGCACATTCATTTCATTTAGCTGTCTATTCAAAACCTGCAGAGAAAGTGTCATTGTCGGTGATGGCTTCTCGCAAGCCTCCGGGTGATATGTTAAGTCATAAATGTACTCCTAAGAAAAAAAGAAAAACAGGGGGAACGACAATCAGAGGAGGATCTTGTCATATGAAAACAGCACATGTGATCTTCACCTGGCTGCCACAAACCAGATGTGCAGGAAAAAGGGAGAAAATCCATTAGCTGTGTATAGACTTAGCCATCCCCTTGGAATAATATGGAAGGCAGAGTCTATTTAAACACTATCTCCATGACCTCTTGGTGCGCGGCAGCTCTGCAGGGATCTACAGGATTAACCGCCGCCTCTCAGGTGAGCTGAATCATAATAAATAGCAGCAACGCTTTGAAAATACCCATAACAGCACATTAGCATTGAAATGAGGTAGCACTTTTGTCAGTAGGTAGTCCCGGGTCACAGAGACAAACGTCGAATACTGCCGGAGGGACTTCAGCACACACTCGGCTGTCCCCTCCACTGCCTGCTACGCCTACGCCGC